TGTCAAAGCAGTTTGGAGAGAAAAACAAAGTAAAGAACAAAAAAAAAGAAAACGATTAATCGATTGTTAAATTAGTCATCGATTATTTTAATAATTGATTAGTCGTCGATTAATCGATTAATCGTGGCAGMYCTARTCGACTGTGATTGAAACTGTACTTTTTGAAGCATAGTGAGAGCAGATTATACAGTATACTTGGTACTGTTTACCTGTCCTGATATTCAAGTATAAAACTCTGCCTTTATGGTCGGATGTAAAGTTTTGACCACATCACAGAGATCTGTCGTCGTACCTTCTTCAATTCAAGTCAGAAGAGCAACTTTTTCAGACTGTCGGTGCTCCGAGTTTTACTTGTGGCCCAGCTAACTGCTGCTGATGAAACGGAACTAAAGGCAGGAGATGCTGCAGGGCTGTGAGYAGAAAGAACCACAGCAGGAAGTTTTTAAAATCTTTAAAAAGTGTCAGAAGGAATGAGGGCAGGAGGAGGAGGCATGAAGTGTGTGGCAACAGAATTTCAGCTCCCCAGATATGAGAAAATACGCTTCTTTAATATTTTATTCATGACCGAACAAAATAAAATAGCAACGACGGGCTTATCTCRGTATTTTTAGTATAAAAACTAAACCGAGTAAAGAATAAAAAATGAATGGATTGAGATTTTGCATATTTAGGAATAAAATGTTTTAGCTCAGTTATGTTTTACCAATAAAAGTAATTTATAACAGGCTGCTTAGGTTTGCTTTAATAAAATACATTTAACAGAACTTCAGAAACTAAACAACATAATGAGAAGCAGACTAATTTTGTTGTCTAAGACTCAGCAAGAAGTTTTTAATCTTCTAAATAAAAGGAGTTTTGGTATACTTTTATGCTTCAAATGTCTTTTGAAGAAGAAAGTGTAAAGTTTAGTTTGAACTTACAATTGTGATGTTTTCTGTTTTTAATATAAAAAAAACAAAAAAGCATAAAAATGCTGTGATGGTTCCTGTTTTTGATTAAATAAATGAACATGCAGGTGAAGCAGCCATCTGTTTACTGCCTGCTGTACAAGTTTCCGACATTAATATTTAAACATTTTGAAAGCAAACACTTCCTTTTGTTTTTTTATATATATTTTATTTTTATTCATTCACAAAAACATTTCTCATTTAGTAGTAAAGAGAAATAGTTGCCACATTCTTTAAGGATGGTTTTAGTTCAGTTTTTCTGCAGGATAAATGTTGTTTTTYACAGGTTGAACTGTGGCACTGGGTCACCTTACACAACTTCATTATAGATGAGGGGGGTCCAGTTACTCATCATGTGAGATCACTCTTAAAAATAAACTTAAGGCAAAATCACAAAACTATAAAAATTAAATAATATCATTTTATTCTAGGGCTGTCAAATGATTAACATTTTTAATCTATTAATTCCAAGGCAGCTGTGAATTAATCACGATTAATCTTAAAC